CTGCTTGTTTTTTAGATGCATACTGAACATACTTTGTTCTTCCTCGGCTGCAGTGTAGAAGGAGCATTTCAGAGTTTCACCACTAGAGAGAGCTACACAGCAGAACAAAGTCTGACCCAAGAATCTGATATTCAGACACAATACATTTACTTGTGATGCTCTGGGAGACTCAGTCTACATAAAGGAGCGATCAGCAGTCCTGTCATCTGCTGCTGAGGCACATGGTGGCTTGAACTTGTCCTTCATGGTTGAAAGGCAGTGGTGCTCATAAGGAAGCTTTAGAAATGTGTCTGAGTGCAATTAACTAACGATTATTTTCATTCCAGATTAATTTGTTGATTATTTTAAAACTTAATTTTCACATAAGAAAAAGAAAAGCAGCAACTGAAAAGCTGGAATTAAATACTTGACATCTGTGTCTGTTGATGAATTGTTTCTCCATTTAACTTAACCAATGAGCTGGATGAACATCATAAGACAAATCACAGCATGACAAATGTTAAGACGGACTAACAGGAAGTTGTGAAAGATCTACCTGTATCACATTTTCATGCTGTTTGTCTCATGTGGCTGTCCATCTCAGTAAATAAAGAAATAGATGCTGATTAACTGGTGACTGTCAGCTGGATGTGACAGATGACAGATGTTGAAATAGGAGGAGGGCGTGGAACTGTTCTTGTGACTTTTCACATATTGTCAAAACATTGAATTCATAAAGTCCCAGTGAAAACCTGAACATTTAAAAACAACACCTGGTGAAAACTTTGACACAAGCCTGGGACATTCCAGTGTGTTTCCCCTCAGTACACACTCAGCTGCCAGTTTATTAGGTACATTTAGTTCAAACTGTCCCATTTCGTAGGCTCCTTCAAATGCATCCTTCTTTTCTTGGACCAAGAGGAACCCACCAGCTGGATCCTTCGTGATCCAACCTATCCCAAGTGTAGTGGGTTGAAGCTTAAATTGTCTTGGATTACTCGCGTATGTTCAATTGAAAAGGAAAAAACTTCCACAGGACTCTGATGTAAAAAAAAAAAAGATAAACAAAGTTCTTTAATCCAAAGTTTGTTAAATCTTCTTACAGGATGGTTCAAAGTCCAGTTCTCCCAATCAATAAACTATACTACTGTAAGAAAACCATGTGGCTCAGTCCTTGATTAAGCCTCAACTTCCTGAATTCACTTCTCACAGCACAAAGAGCTCTTTCTCTTAAAGTGACAGTAACTTGTTTCACTGCTCTAACAGAAAGCTACCAAGATGCCACCTTCTTGCAGAATATCTTTCTTACATCAACATGAATTAGATCAATGAATTTTAGCTGACTTTTATTTATTTATTTATATATTTATTTTATTTATTTATTTTAATAAACATTAACTTTCAAATGAAAATATAGACTGTGCTTATTTATTGACTTAGACTTATATGAACTTAATTTGGCTCCTACACCAAGATTCATTGCGCGCCGGTAATAAATCTAAACAACGCCGACAGAGAGCCGCTCTTAAATGCAAGTACAGTGTTTCAGCTCAGTTCAACAGCTAAACAGTAAAACTCTTAGAATCAAGGGTTTTAAAATCTATTCTATATCTTTTATGAAAAAAAGTGTCAAGGTTGCTGAGCGGAAATCCTCCGTAGACCAGATCGTCTCATTTCAGTTCGGCCTTCACGATCTACGAAGGGCCACACCTTCGTAGACCGCGTCCTTCGAAGGATGCGACCCCTGAATTGGGACCCGGCTCATATGATCTTTTCCTAAACTTAATGAAGTAGTAGTTTTAGTGCTTAAACCTAACCAAGCCATGACCGTTACTATAGTAACCATGGTAATGAAGGTCGGCGCGCCGCTGTCGGTACAGTCCGTAGCTGTGTCTCAATTCAGGGGCCGCACTCTTCAAAGGACGCGGTCCAGGAAGGTGTGGCCCTTCGTAGCCGTTTGTCGACCGTGACGGAGGAACTGAGATGAGTCTGTCCGGTCTATGGAGGATTCACTTTTACTGTTTAGCTGTTGAACTGAGCTGAAACACTGAACTTACATTTAAAAGTCGCTCTCTGTGGGTGTTGTTTGCTTTCATTACTGGCGCGCAATGAATCTTCAATAAGGCTGCGAAGGTCTTGAGAGAGCTCTTTGCTTTGACCCATCATGAGATGCCCATTTTTGTGACATCTTGGTAATGAGAAACCTTTTTATAGGCTATCAATTAGGACTAAACCAGCTGATATTTATTTGCACTGATAGGGGGCAGGACCGTTTTTCTAAATACTGACAGATTTCAGCTGGTTTCTTTTTGCACCTCCTTTTCTTCATGTGTTCAATACTTATTCCCTGTGTCATTTCACGTTATTACACATAACTTAATTTATGGACATATGTGTTTTGATTTCTTTGTGTGTGTGGATTACTTGGGTTGTCACCGACATCTGGTGACAATTTCATGTCAATAGCCCCATCAGAAATATATTTACTGAGAAAAATGTTGACGCCTTCAATACTTATTTTCCCCGCTGATTAAGCAACACACAGTAGTTGTTTTTACCAGTTTTATTAAAGACAAACATCACAGAACATTTAACGTTTGAAGATTTGAGAATAAAGTGCAGAAAACTTTTCTAAATACTTTTTATTTTTAGAATACATTCATGAATATAGTAGAGGTAGTGTTATAGTCAAAAACACAACAAACAATTCAAATAAACAATGCCACAACAAAAATATATACGCAGGTGCCTTGCTAAGAGGAACGTTCAGTCGATGTTCAGGGAGTGCAGAGTTTAAACTTAAAAATATAAATATTTTTCTTATAGAGAACAAAAACAAGAAAAGGTGGCGTGACTTTTCATACTAACTCTATAGATAACCAGTAAACTTCCTGTTTTGAACCACACTGCTTTAACACTGTTAACTATGGTACAAACTAAGATTATTCGTTTTTATATCAGCCTAAAGATGTGGGGAAATTAAGTACAACTTACAAAAACAAAAAAATCCTGTGTCCTTGTCCATCTGAGTAGAATTCAGTGAATCCAAGTTGCAATGTAAAGTCCTTCCAAAGTTTAGCCAAGACAAGTCTTTGCGTCTTAGTCTATAGTGCTGTCCGATCAAGAGGTACAACCTTTGTTTCATTTATTTAGTTTCGAATGAACCGATTATTTATTCAGAATTTGAGGAATGTTATTTTTGTGAAATGTAATGAAAACTTTATGTCACAATTAAAAGAGGTTTCATCAGGTTTCAGGTCGACTCCCTAAAACGTTATTCTTTAGGGTGTTTTCTTATTAGGTGTGACTGTTTTGTACTTGGGGTGTAATGATTCTGAAACCAAGAAAACGTCCACAGATCTTGTGAATATCAGAGGACGGACAAACAGCTGGTGCAGCTGGCTCCTGATCAGTGTCTTAATAAAATGTAATGAATCTTTGTGTCACAGACGAGAGTCGCAGTCTCTCAGAACAGAATCCAATCACAAATCTTGAAGTCAGGCGTTGAATCATGGTCGAAACATCAACGCAAGGAAGGGGAGCGAGGAGAGAGTTCTGTTCTGTACGGACTTTAATGGAAGAGACTTTTCTTGGTTCGAGTGAATCATGTTTCTTTGTGACTTTACAGCCACTCTACGTTTTTTCCCTCCGAGCTTGAAGGTCGCCAAGAAGATTTTCCACCTTCCATCGAGGAAATCTGTATTTCAACGTTCTGATCAGTGACTGAATTTGAGATATCCATGCTGGTTCTGAATCAGGACCAGAGTCCAGCCCACACAGGAAAGGACACTCGCAATTGTCCTCCTTTGATGGGTTTGGACGCATTAAATCGAACCCTTCACATCTTTTTGGTCCGTCGTAGGTCGGCTTTGAGGTCAGGTTTAGTTGCTCATTGAAAGAACAAAGTCACAGTTTGAAAAGTAAAACATGAGTGAACTGGAACTGAGACGGTAACACTGCCATAAAGTTTGGCTTCTTTCCTTAGGAAATAAAAGTCTGATACAAAGTGATCCTGCTGCTGCTCTGGCACGTTTCTTATCTAAGCTGTACTTTTGAAAAAACTGAACCAAATAGGAGGAACAACCCAATAGTTTTATCAGATTAGATTCGTCCAGCGTTTGAAACACCCACATCCTGAGCAGAGCTTCAGCCGACCTGTGGGTAAAGAAACAAGGAGTACATTAGTTTTTGTTGCTACACAAGAACATCAGCTTAATCAGCTTTTTTACAATGCACATAAAAACCTTCCCCGCGGCTGATTGGTCGAGCACAAAGAACTGAGTGTAATGTAGGATCAAACTTCTGCATGAGAACAGAGCTACGATCATAACTGCTCCTCCGATGCAGTTGAACTAGAAGTCTATCTGATGTAAATTCAGACTGGAATTGAAACTAGGTTGGAGACCTTTAAGTTTCCTGTAGCAGACCTGTTTGACTGAGTTGGATCACTCATCTCACATTTAAATACTTCAGATGTCGCCTGGTTTTATGATATTATCACTGAACTTCTGTCATCAGATGTTGAAGTCAGACTTACATCAGTGTCCAGACAGGACTTCCTATTGGTCGTCTGTCTCCACCTTACAGATCTCACACCTTGTGGTCTCTGGATCCAGCTGTGGCTGCAGGTGTGGCTGGTTTGAATCACAAAAATGATTTAAAGGATTCAGGAGAGGGAAATGTATCACGCTCTCATCTCCATCAACAACAACTACCAACGTTCCCCTGAGCAAGGCACCTGGGGTCACACCGGGTTGCTTGAGGCGGCATCGTACTTCACACCCTGGAGGAACAGATGTTCAACAGTTGGTCAGATAAATCCCAGGAAGGTTTGATACAACAGGAAGTAACAATGTTTGTTTATTTACTTACATCTAGTTTTTGACGCCGTCGTCTAACCAAGTATCCACTGACTCCAGCAGCCAGGATCAGCAGGACGAGGAGAACCACAGGCAGGATCCAAACGATGGTTCTGGTCTGATCACCTGATGTGAAAGAGTTAAACAGAGACGACAGCTGCATCACTGAAAGTTCACAAACACCAACAAAGCACCAAGAAGGCTTTTTGTGTCGTCTTCACAGAGTCGCAGCGTTTCCTCACCTTTACTGTCTGTCCTGTCTCCTGGATCTGGAGTTGGGAGGTTTCTGGGCGGCGTCTCTGTCGTCTGGGTTTTAAGGTTTGGATCTAGAAAAACACAAGATGTACAAAGATTTACAAAATATAAGAGAAACAAGAGCAGTAGGAAAACAGTGACATTAGATGCTGAAAAAATGACCTGAGAACTTTTAAAGATGTGTCATTTTGACTACAACTATGGCTGCAACTGTCATTTTCATTATAATTTAATCTACCGTTTGTTACTTTTGATTGTTTATTCCAATCAAAATATTCAATTTACATTAACACATGACCAAGAAAAGCAGCAAATCTTCTCTTCTGAGACGCTGGAATCTGCAAATGTTTGACTTCAGTATTTTTGCTTGGAAAATCACTGGAGCAAATAATCCAATAAACAAATTTACTCACCGACAACAAGTCGAATAATTGAACCCCTCTTTAACTTTGGGATGAAACATCTGTATCTTCCTTCATCTGCAGACGTCACGTTCAGGATCTTGAGGGATATGTTTCCACGTTTCAGCTCGTCTGTGAAAAGCTTCGTCCTGCTGACGTACGACAGGAGCTTCATCTCCAGGTCTTCTCGTCCGTACCTGTACAGGTGCACGTAGTCAACCCAGCCTAACGGATCTGAAGGGTCTGGCTTTAGATCCGGTTTGGACCACTCCACTGTGAACCTCCGCAGGTCTAATGGAGGATCCAGGTGGCATGGCAGGATGACATCATCCCCTGGCGCAGTGATGATTGGCTGAGATGAACCAATTATCTGATGTGCACCTGGAAAATGGAGGAAAGTGAATTTTTGCTTTGTTATTTTTATCCCAGATTAATCAGCCTGTGAGATCGTCCCAAGCCCACAAATATTCAGATAACTTAATATATAAGACAAATAAAAACAGGAAAACTTAACAACTGAGAAGCTGGAGTTAAATGTTTAACAGTTGAGAATCCTTTGTCGATCAATTGCTCCAGCTCCGTTTCAAACCAAAAATAATAATAATTAATAATTGTTATAATGTGATTGTTGAAGAGTCATTATGATGAAAACTTTTTGAGCAACACTGTGACCCAAGAGGAACAACAGATCAGCTGCTTGAACTTGTGGACAAACAAAGTAACAATGTTCAATCAGTTGATTTGTGTGGTGAAAAACATCAACCACAATAATGCTCTGTCTCACTGTCTGACAGGATTAACGGTTGCCCACTAATCAGGAAGTTGGAAGAATCCCAAAATATAAACAAAAACTCCGTCATCATCCCTTCTTCTGTCTGTGACCAGCAGGTGGCGCCACAGGCTGCTAGGGCTGATATAAGAGCTTCTAGTAAGAAATTAACTCTAAACATTAATGTAGTGGGTGAAATACACAAAGTGAACATGAACATCTGCTGACTTTAGTGAATGTAATTACAGAAACTCAACTGAAACCAAGTCTGTTAATTTATCTAAAAAGAAGAGATGTTTTATCTTATCTTTATTAAAATGAAATTATGAGTCTATTAAATACTCTTAGTATTTACTTAAGAGCTCGAGAATCATCGCGTTTTTAAGTGTTGTTCAGTATTAAAGTCGTCTATTGACAGTTATCAACATTTCTAACAGCAAACGGCGAACAGGGATTGTTAACGGCTAATTCGGCTTCATTCATTTTCCGTAACGTAAACAAATATAGACTTAAAAAAGAGATTTGGGCTTAAAACTCGCTGATTTAACGGTAGTTTTCAGCTGTAATGAGAACTACACTGGTACGACAACAAAAAAACAGACAGTGAAATGAATGAATGAATGAATGACGGCGAACACAGACAGTAAAATACATGTTATCACGAGCTAACAGTAGCACACGGTAGTAACGTATCTTACCTTTAACAGGTGAGCAGGAGACGGAAGCCAAGAGGAGGAAGAAAGTCCAGAGAGAAGAAGTGTACATGAACTCTTCGAAATTAACCTCCAACATGAGGATTTGAGACGGTGACGGATCAACGGTCGCTGGACAAACTGAGCGGCTTTGCACTGTTTCAAAACCTTTACGTGAGAAGAGTGACGTTTCACTGCGTGAGTCACGCTTTCCTACGTCAGTAAGGCGGGACCATGAGAGGCGGGGGAGGGGGGAGGACCGGGCTCCGATGAGAGTGTGCTGTACGGGCATTGACCCAGAGGAATCCCCATGACGTCACAAAGCAATAACGACACAGATAAGATAATATAATTTTATTTTCCTAAAACAAACAAACAGACACACAAAACAGTAATGTAATGTGACCAATCACCCTTATAGTCAGAAGCACGAGGCAGCTGTGCGTCTCTGGTTGTGGCTGTTCCTCTCAGGAAGACAGGGAAATAAAGTGTTTCAGGTTTCTGCTGTGAGTTTCACTTCAGATCCGGATTTACCAGCTGGCTTTATTTGATTAAACACTAACATTTTGATGAAAGCGTCAAGTTTAACATTAACTAAAATAAATTATTATAAAATTTCCTCTACGCAGCAGGAATGGGCAAGAATGGGTTAAAACTGATTGAACTTCTCTTTAGTAGTAATTATAATGCTAACTAAATCTTCACTAAATACAAATCAGTCTTTTTTTTTATTGGCTATGGAGCCTTTTACATAATCACACGTGATCACATGGTCAAGATATGACCATTACATGACTCACCATCATCTGATTTATGAGTCAGCAAGTTGACTAAACCAAGGTGAAAACAAAAATAACTACACTCAACTTTTCAAACATTAAAACCTGATTATTTCTATATCTGTTTCACTGAAAGCACCATCACCGCCAGAAATTTGGGGAGATTTCTTCTTCCAGTATCGGCTGAGCTAATCAGCTGAAAGACAGTAAGCACCTAAAATACTGCAAGTCATTAACCTGATTGTTGTGCTGTTACATCAGACACCACACACTTTTAATTAACGTCTTGATTGAGACTGAATCACATATTTGGAGTCATTATTATATAAATAAAATTTTGGATTAAATTCTACAGGATATGTAATGGATAAAAACAACCTCAACAACATTGTGTTACATGTCATCAGGGTCCTAAGCTAAATGTTATTTGAGGGGCCCTCCCCCTTATGGTGCCGCAGAGGCCCGGAGCAGACGTAGATCATATATCGATGACCTAGAAAAAAGGTGGTTTGCGGCCAGTGTCGGGCTTTGTCTCTGGCCTCTCATCCCACCAGTTTCTGAGTCTGCTCCTGTGTCGGCCGGGTCGTCAGCTTTAAGTTTCCTGTTCCATTAAACTAGTCGTGGCTTGTTACTCTTGGACTCATTGTGTAATTTCAGTTGCCTGGGTCTGTTTAGTGAAAAGAAAAATACATCAGATTTTCAGGAAAAGAAAAGGGATCCAGGGTCAGAAACCTTTGCCATTTAAGGTGTTAGAAAAAACAAAAAACCCCGACAAACATCCTGCACAAACAGGTTCTTCACACATTTAGAAGTGAATATGACATTACAGCAGGAAACTGTGGCCTGAGCGTAACACACATGCTGAAGAAGAGGGTGATGCAGCCCCCTGCATTCAGTCCATTTGCTGGCATCGAAGAAGCATGGAGATAACATCAGTGTGCGCTGTCATCGGTGAGTACTGAACTAGTTATGAATAGTAGCTGCAGTAGTAAAACGTTATTTCTTTGTACTTACTGAATAATTTACCAGAAACAACCAGAAAGGATCTAATGCGACCCAGGCAGGCTACTGAGGCGACACGGCCTCATGGTCCCGAAACTTTCCTCATAACTACCAAGTCAATACAAAGATTATGTTCCTATGAACCAATTAGAAAACAAATCAAATCCCCAAAACCACTGGCAGCAGCTGCTTTTATATGTTGCTCTTTGCACTTTGATCGTGGGTGAGGTGTGAAGTTTTGATTGCATTTGTTATTTGGAGGTTTCCATCCTGTAGCTTTAGATGTTATTGACTGTATCATTCGCATGGTGGAAAAGCAGGAAGCAGAATTCATTCTGATCAATTAGTTATCAGCAAAAGATTTCTGTTGTTTTCAACTTGAATCAGCTCAGTCATTGTTCAAAATCACATCCAGTGAAACAAGGAAGAAACTAAACCTGAACAAAGGTGATGAACTTGCTGAGTATCTACACATCAGTGAATCTTTCCCAGTGTTCAGCAGGAACACAAAAGACTTCTGTTGCTTCAGGTCGATTCATGATAAAAAAATAAACCTGAGTTTTCTGTGTTCCTTGCAGCCACTCTGACAGTCCTGCCCAACAGATCCCAGTTCTTCCAGTACGAGTCCGTCTCTCTGAGCTGTGGGCAGCAGGGAAACTCCTCTGGGTGGAGGGTTAAGAGGAACACGTCCAGAATAACGAATGGAGATTGTCCTGCGTTCTTGGATAGAGGAAATGATTCCAACTGCTTCATTGAAGAAGCTTACCTTAGTGAAACTGGAGTGTACTGGTGTGAGTCCGGAGCAGGAGTGTGCAGCAACACCATCAACATCTCTGTAACAGGTGGGTTTAAACAAGCTAAAGGCTGCAGCCAGTAGACGCTCAGGCACCATAGAAGAAGATATTTATGAAGATAAGGACATTAAATGGGTTTTGGTAACTAGCTCTGGCATTGTTCTCGTTCACTGCTGTCCTCAGTAGAAAAAATAAAATCGACCTATTTCATGTTTTCCTGTGCAGCGAGCTCTTGTGGTCGAACGCACAGCGACTCTGTCCGGACACATTCACACAGACATCTTACGTCTCCCATCGACTTCAACTGAAGTCTGTATAACTCACCTGTTAAATGATGAGGGAGGTGATTTCTTACTGTCAACAAACCACATCTTTACACTGATGACTCTCACAGTCAGAGCAGTTAGCGTGGGGCAGAGGTCAGGGAGCACGCTCTGGAACAGCCACCATTTTGAACTTTGATCATGTGTAGAGTCTAAAACCAGTTGTCTGTCGTTCAGCTGGCTCCGTGATCCTGGAGAGTCCCGTCCTCCCTGTGATGGAGGGAGACGATGTGACGCTGCGCTGCACAAACATCACTTCCTCCTCCAACCTCACAGCTGATTTCTACAAAGATGATGTTTTCATCAGGAGCAGCTCCACAGGAAACATGACCATCCACAGTGTTTCTGAAGCTGATGAAGGACTCTACAGGTGTAACATCTCTGCAGCCGGACAGTCGACAGGCAGCTGGTTGAGAGTCAGAGGTGAGGTCAACGTTAACGTCCCTGAAAACCTCAGAAACGTCAATGTAACATCAGGGAGACGTTGGACTCTGACAGCTCTAACGTTGGAGAGACGTTATATCTTAGTTGAAAATCAGACTGACGTCAAAAACCCAACGTTGGAGACTTGACAAGACGGCGTTGGCATGAAATTGTTTGAAAGACTTTTAATGATCAACTTCAGCTGTCGTCAGTATTGTACGTCAAATTAGCATTAGCATCAGACGTCCTGACTTTCAATGATGTCTCAAGCTTCATTCAACCAAAAATAAATGACTAACGACGTTAGCAAGCTTGTTAGCTCAGTCACTAACAGGAGAATAAATCCACAGTGTCTAAGTTAGTGTCAAGTTTATTCAAAGAGATGTATTTGTTCGGAAGGTGTTATAAATATAAATAACTGTGTGTTCAGAGGTTTATTTAGCCTAGCTTAGCAAACAGCCTCCCTCTGTGCAGACAGGGCTGTTAGCTTGTGTTGATTGAGGTCAACCTGTTGTCTCTCTGTGTTGAAGCGAGGCATCCTGAGCCGCCTCAGTCCTCCCTCGCATGCATTCTACTTCCTGTGGTGGGTTTCTGTCTGCTGCTGGTGTCGGTGATGCTGCTCTTCCTCTGGAGGCGCCACAAAGGTCAGAGTGTTTTCATGTAAACAAAGCGACACTTTGCAACCAGCTGTTTCGGTCTCAGTTCTGCGCGGGTCGTTGGACGTGTTGAGAGTCAATTCTTGAACAAGAAGTCTTAACTCAAGGTCCACTTACTAGTTTTTTTCCTTATTCTCAACTGAGCTATGCGTGTTAGTTTAAATTAGTTCAATGGTGGTGAATTTTCTCTCTTCCATTATTGCTCCTCGCCTCTATTAGACTTTAGTGACGCAAAGTTCTGACGATGATGAATGGACTGAATCTAAACTATGAAAGTTCGTGACAGTGGCTCAAGTGTCGAAGCTAAAACACACATACCTCTAGTGTATAAAGTATTCATTTTAAACAGAGCAAAGCTTCGTGACAGAAGCAGGTGGAGTCATGTTAAAGGTTAAAAGACAAAAGGTTTTTTGTTTTCGTGTGGTTTGTTTTGTCTTGATGAAAGAAAGCAGACGATACATCACAGTCCCACACCTGCATACCTGTGTCTACTGCGTCTCTGCACTGATACCACTCTTCATGGGAACCAGACAGACGACCTGAAAACAGTATTAATCAGCAGCACACAGACGAAAACATCACGCTGTCATACAGATGTTTAGTATTTTCGTTTTCAGATTTATTTTCAGATTCTCAGTTTCACTGTTTTCAACCCACAAACTGGATTGGGAAATCTGGATTTCCATGTTTAAATCCAGCTGCTGTGTAACCGTGAGAATGATGTTGTGTTACAGGTAAAGCCGATGTTTCCTACACTGACGTCACCATCACACAGGAAGTACCACCACAGAGGATCAGAGGTAAACACACACTCAAACGCTGCATGTTAAATTATTACATTGACAACATTGAAATTATGCTTTGATGTGACTATATTTACTTACTATATTATGTGAATGTTCCGATAAAATATACAATATTCAAACTGTTTTACTTCTGATACTAAAGTTAAATTTTAATGTGGGACTGTGGTAATGGAGGATTTTTACAGTGCGGTTTTGCTACTTACGGAAGTGGAGAAACTCGCAAATATTATCAGGAGAAAACGATTTCTGTTTTCCCAAGACAAGGAGATGAAAACACATTTAAAGTGTGGCCTTCCTCGGCTTCCTCTTTCCCTTGAATAAAAGATCTTGATTCTTCTTCCGTCACTGTCTGTTTTGTTGTATTGTAAAGAAACTGTGTTCTTCCTCCACCACTGGTTACAGCCTGCTCTCCTGAATAATCACCAACAGCTGATGGAAGTTAAAAGATGTTTAAATAAACTGAACAAAAACTCACTAATATTCCTGTGAGGGTTTGAACTAAAATCAGACTTTAGTTCTTACGTTATAAAACAGTAAAAACTCATTTCTGTCACTATGTAATGAACCTGTTCTGTAACGGCTCCTCTGGGCCTCATGTGTTTGTTGTTGTTACTGAAGAAGGAAGTCCCGCCCTCTCACCCACTTTCCTGCGCTGTGATGACATCAGCCATCACCATGGTTACCATAAACAAAAACATACTGAGGTCATTTTCCTCCCTGTGGCTAATCGCTTCAGAGAGATACTGTTCAGAAACTGACCGAGTTTCTATTTTTAGTAGAACAGACTTCAGACTTTATTTATAGACGTGTCTCCGTTGAGTTTGTTGCTGTGTTTACTTTCTCTGAGTGTTTCTATCACTGACAGACGTTATGGCACAGTCCAGGCCTTTATACTGACTCACGTGGATTTATCATTAATATATGTTTGGGATACATGAAGCGCTGCAGCATGAACTCCACTGCATGATAAGTGCATGTATTTATTCTCCACAGACACTTTTTAAGTATAAATCTGAAAACCCAAACGATGAATGTCTCCTATTATCAAGTATCATGAATCCTGAGCTGAGCCACAGAGCTCCATCGTTATCACTATAACACATCAGTGAGTCACATGGTCCTTCATTATCATGTGACTCAGGCCTTTCCTGGGACGATCTGCTGCTACAAATACTCACTAGACCATTAAATGTAGATTAATCCACCGCTGAAAGTAGTCCCCCCAAAAATAACCAACTTCCTCCTGTTTGTTAGAAACTACAGCGACGAGCTGTTTTAGGAATTTACTGATTTTTTAAACATATAATTGTTTGGTGTTTTTAAAAATGTGTGTTTTCAGTAGGAAGCAATGGACCTGAGGCTGAGAGCCACAGACACGGTGGAGACGTACTGTAGTCCTGTAGCTCGTGTGTTAACGGTCTGTGTCCGTCCTCCACAGATGTGGACGCTTCTCCGACCTTCTACTCGACGGTCAAACCAGGATCCACCTGACGACAGGAAACAACAGCGCCAGAGTTAAAGTGTGTGAATCATGATGTTATGGATCAAACTGAAGAAACGTTCAATGTGCTTTTACAGTTTTTCATGTGTCTCTGTAGTTTTGTGTCTTTGTAGTTTTGTGTCTCTTGTTTCTGACTTGATTAGTTTTTTTATCTTCAGGCTGAAAATTGTCCCACATCTGATCTATGTTATGAACAANGTGTGTGAATCATGATGTTATGGATCAAACTGAAGAAACGTTCAATGTGCTTTTACAGTTTTTCATGTGTCTCTGTAGTTTTGTGTCTTTGTAGTTTTGTGTCTCTTGTTTCTGACTTGATTAGTTTTTTTATCTTCAGGCTGAAAATTGTCCCACATCTGATCTATGTTATGAACAAGGGAATAACATCTTCTTGTTTATTGTTTAATAACAGTATCACAGAGAGCTCAGTGTTTCCCCTCCCTTCATGAGACTGACC